CCCTGCAGGGACCCCTGCCCCTGCCCTCCCCTTCCATTGGCCTCCTGTCCCCCCTCTGCTCATCCCACCCTCCCCGTCCTGCCATTCCTGTCTCCCCCTTCCCTCCCCACCTTCTCTAGTCCCCTCTCAGTCTCTCGCCCTCCTCTCCTCCCCCCAGTCAGTCTCCTCTCTCCTCCTGGGTTCTCGCTCCATCAGCCCCCCTCCCCAGCCTGTCTCCCAGTCTCCCGGCCCCTGGGCTGAGCCCCTCTCCCATCTCAGCCTCCCTTTCCCTCTCCCAGCCCCACGGCAGGGCTGCCAGGCCAGGAGCCCTGGGGTGGAGGGATCTTTGTGACACCCCTTTTCTGTCTTTTCTGTCTGTCCCGGATGCCCGGCCACCGCCTGGAGGCACCAGACCTGCCCCCTGCCCGAGGAGGAGGGACCCAGGAAAGGGAGCAAGTGGCCTGAAGGCACGGGCATGTAAGTGGCAGGGCCAGGGCTGGGTAGGCCACCCTGCGGTTGGCCAGGAAGTGGCTCCTTCTCTGCTGAGGCCTGGACTCCTGTCTGAGCTTAGGGAGACGGGCACTTTCTGCTCTGTTCCCTTCCCCAACCCACATCTTCTCCCCCTCAGGCAGCATGGGGCACACCAGCACCAGAAGGACGTCACCCAATTCATTCCACAGATGAGAAAATAAGACACCCACTGCTCCTGAAGACCTGTGTCTGCTAGGACAGAAGCTTCCTGGGAACCCTGACGCTCCCCAAAGACCAGCAGTGTCCTCTGCAGGGCACTCCTCTCCAATCGCAGGGGGCACACATCCAGACACCTCAGACTGGGTGGAATCTATCACTATCTTCTGGCAAAGGACGGAACTGCACCCCAGCTGAATTAGACCTAAGAAGGTCCCAACTAAAAAGGACAGTGACTATAATGTGGGGGTGGGGGGAGGGTTGCAAAATTCTGTAAAAGTGAAATTTTTTACTCCTAATTAATAAACATGATACTCAGCAAGCTTCTTGGTATGCCAACTTAAAACCTCTAGACTTCACGCTTCTAAGGCTTCTATGGCTGGGTTCTCTCCTGCATTACCATGGAAATGCACATGTCACAGTCATGGGAACAAAGGAAAGTGGGATTTGGCTTACACAGTTTGCGTGGGAGCTTGTTTCTAGGAATTGGGCCAAAATGAATTCGTTTTCTTTGTGATGACATCGCTATGCCTTGCTGAGAGGCAGTGGGTGCAAGCTAAGGTGAGTGACAGCTGAGCAAGCCCGGGTTAACTGGCCCCAAGCCTCACCACGCAGCCTTTGGAAGGGTTAAGTAAAGGAGCCCACAGAATGGTTTCCCCAAGTCCGCCTGCTACACTGCACAATTTGGGGTTGTAAAGTGCTTCAAAATACTAAAATTAGCCTCATACATTTTAAAAGTTCGGCATACAACACTGCTCGGTACACCTCAGTGGCAATATGAGATCCTAAGCTGGGAAAGGAGTGTTCCTTCCATGCCCAAGAGCAGGTGACAATTTGTGAGGCGAAGAGCAACCAAGGGGCGAGGCAGGAAATTGGGGAAGGGGCAACCCCACCACTGAGAGCTGACCTTGCAGGTGCTCCCCCATCTTCGACCAGAGGCCAGGGGGTGGGGTGGGGGTGCCGGAGGGAGAATGGGCTCAGTGGGGCCGGAGGAGAAGGGGGCCTGGGCGGAGGTGAGAGCAGTGCCTGGTGGTCTGACTCACTAATTAAGGCTGGGAGTGGTGACCTATGAAGCTGACGAGGAGGAATAAGTGGGAAACGACCAAGCTTTAAAGGCCAGGCTGAGGGCTGGGCCTTTGTCTTGAGGGTACGGGGCAGCCATGGAGGGACGGCGTGCAGGGCAGGAGCGGAGGCAGCTCTGACCGGCTATAGGGTGCACAGTGGAGGCCAGGCAGCCAGGGAGGGCTGGGCTGACGGTACAGGTGGGAGAGCTTGAGGCCAGGCAGGGCTGCGGCCACGGGGACAGGGAGAAGGGGCACGGGAGGGGAGGTGGGGCAGAGTGGACTCTGGTCTGCGAGGCTGAGTAGGTGACAACCCTCTCCCGGAACGAGGCTTCCCAAGGAGCTCCCGCTTCCCTGGCGGTGCCCGGGGCACACCCTAGGGAAGCCACGGGTCTGAAGACCAGGACGCAAGACTGCACTGAGCTAGAGATGAATTTGGGGGTCAGCAGTGAGGAGGGGCCATTTGGAATCTGCAGTGCAGACGGGCGGTGGCTGAGACCACCCCCACCAAGTCCCCATCTGGCAGTGTGTCCTACAGACACCCGCAGATGCAGCTCTGCTGACCACCCAAAGGCCCCCACATGGGATGAATGGAATCAAGCCCGCGCTGGCCGTGTCACGGAATGAGGCGGTGCTGCCTATCAGGGATGGAAACCTGTCAGGTGGGGGAAAAAGCTGGAGCAATACACTTTTGCAAAACTATTTCCATGCACATTTGTTTGTTTATGTGGAACACCTCCAGAAGGCACAGGAGACTGAAAGCTCAGACTGCCCCCGGGGAGCAGAGTGAGTGTTGGGCAGGGGTGGGCGGAGGCTCTTTGCTTTGGGTCTTACTCTACCTTTTGAGTTCCATGCTATATCCCTGGTACCCTGGTCAATAAAAGGAAACAGTGAACGAGCGCTCCAGGGACAGGGAAGAATTGGAAAAGAAGTGTAAGAGGACAGAGCCCCAAGGGGCCTGCACAGACTTGGACATGAACTAAAATACGCCAGGAGGAGTAACTCTGCCAGCTTGAGAGTGATGGAAAAGTCTTAGAGGAAAAGAATATAATCAGACAAAGACCTCATATCTCACCCCATTAAAAAATAACAAAATGGTCGGCAAATGACCAGCGAGGGGTGGGTGGGGGCACCTTTACAGACAGACAATGCTTAAGAACTCCCTCCCAAGTTGTGAAAGCTAAGCATGAGCAAACACCTCGGGGTGAGCCGGGAAAAGAGGGCAACAGAATTCATGTGCAACACAGGAGAAACACAGCACATGTGGTCTTGTGCTGGCAAAGAAATGCAAGTTAAAGCAACTCGGGGACACCGTTTTAAGTATCGAGGCCATAAAACCTGGTACATCAGTAACCCCTAGTGCTGGGAGGTGTGTAACATAACTGGCACATTGGAAAATACTGAGGAAATAGAAGTGGAACCCTTTGGGACTTTCAGGCCATTTGTCACAGTGCAGAGGGGCACGGAGGGGCCCTGGGGGTATGCTCTGTGCTCCACAGGGCTGCTGGGAGAAGAGATGGGCCTGAATCCAGGGGAATCTGAAAACGGGGCATGTTGAGGTCTCAGCAACATCAGATGAATCTCAAGAGAATTCAAAACCATAAAAGTGGCCACTGAGCAAAGAACAGTTCTCAGAAAACACCAACGGCACAACCACGCGTCACCTCATTCTGGAGAGATGCAGAGCCTCACAACACCGGGAAGTCTGAGCGGTCTGTCAGCAAGGGCCTGGGCGCGTGGGGATGGACTGTCCCCCATGCAGGGCAATGTACCCATCTGGACTGCAAATGCCACCTTCCCAGTCCTGGGGTTCTAGCGTGGCTACGTCTGCATTCCTGGGCACAGCCACGTCCGCCGGTGGAGGGGCTGAAAGAGCTCTGGGGCACCTTTCTGGTGGTGCACAAAGCAGCGCCCCGGCAAGATCTCCAGAATCACCATGCAAAGAAGCACGGCGGGGTGGCGTATGGAAGCCACTACTGTTGTGTTACAAAGAGGAATACACTCCCATTTGATTGCGCAGCACAGATGCTTGTGGACGGAAAAGAAACAAACACAAGCGATGAGGGGGCCACGACTTTCCACCACAGACCTTGTTTTGGCAGCCAAGCCACATGAATGCATTGCACGTTCACAAAGTGTGAAGTGTTTCTGATCTGCCACCATAATTCCACTTTCAGTCATGTGACCCCAGAAAAGAGCTCAAACTCCCACCAGAGAGAGATGGGTGACAACACCCCCTGCAGTGCAGTTTATAACCTGAGAAAGCAGGAAGGGAGATGCTGAGCATTCGGGGAACAGTTTAATAAACCGCCACACGACACAGTGAGCATTATTCAGCCACGTAGATGAGGAGGACAATGACAACCATTTCTATGTATTTCTGAATAACAGCACATAAACTCAGTAGCCTTGTGGGAAAATCAACAGTTACATCTAACTGCTGGATGTTTTAACTATTTAAAACATTTACAGATTTCAACATAGCTTCCGGTCCATGTGTTTAAATAGACAAAGGGAGGAGGGCGGGAACAGCACAGGCCCGCAGCCCTCTCCTCGCGCCCCGTCCAGGGCAGGCAGCCAGCAGGGAAGGAATTCAGTTCACATCATCTGGCCCTTGACCCCAAGACACGTTAGTTTTTTTTAAATATAATTTCCTCAAGCCCCGAAGCCTTCAAAAGGCCTGGCATCCAGGTGGCAGGCATTCTAAACTCCTGCTCAGGGCCTCAGGCAAGTAAAGGCCGAGCAGGCCTGTGAGAACAGCCCACCCCTGCGGCAGCAGCCCCCTCAAAGGTGGACAGAGGGGTGGGGCACATCGCCATCCGGTGACAGACAAGTAAGGGGGCTCACCGAGCCCGGTGAGGGGCGGGAGGGGCGAGAACATGAACAAAGGCACAGAGGCTGGAGAGAAGCGGCATGTTCCCAACCTGTGGGGCAGGGGAGGGGCCCGGGGGACACAGGTCAGAGCTGGACTGGGAGCTTGGCCTCTGTCCTGTAGGTGAGCCTTTGGGGCTTCAGCAGAGCCACAGGAGAGGCGAGTGTCCAGGGCCTGGGGGCCAGCTGCCCCACTGCCACTGACAGGGAGGCCCTAACCCAAGGGAGGGGTCAGGAAGGGGACTGGAGGGCCAGCAAACCCCCCTTAGGATGACAAGGACACGGGCACTGTGGGCAGGAAGGGAGTCCCCTGGGTGAGAGGACGGGGCCCCAGGCCCCTCAGCGGCCACTGCCCCCACCGCCACCCCCACCGCCACCCCCACCCTGGCCCCCGGCGTCTGGTGCTCCCGACATCATGAGGAACAGGACGACGGGAATGATGTACATCCACTGTGGGCCGGACGGGAGGACACGAGGACGGACAGACAGAGAGACAGAAAGAAGGGAGGTGAGTGTAAGCAGCTTTCCCTAGGACGAGGAAGGTGGGGGCTGGCGTGAGGGGAGGCCGCGTGCGGGGAGGGGCCCGGGTCCCCTACATCACTACAGGTCGGGGGAGGGCCGCTGGGTGCAGGGAGGGTGGAGGCGGGAGGGGGCTCAGTCCTCACTCAGGCCTCCTGCGGCTGCGGCGCGGACCCCGGGGCGGCAGGACGCAGGGCTGTGAGCAACACGGCCCCCCCAAGGATGAGGTGCCACTGAGAAGGGAGGGGGCACGGGTCAGGGCCAGAGGTGGCCACGGGGTCCTGCAGCCACCAGGGAGGGCAAAGCCAGGACCGCGAGCTCTCGGCCTCTCTGGGCCTGCTTCCCCATGGCTCAGCTCTTCAGCTGTCCTGAGGCTGGGGGCTCGGGGCACATTCACCTGCCCCGGCCTCTGGGGCCCACTTCTCCTGCCCCAGTGCCCACCTCCAAGGGCTCTGGGCTTCAGAGCTGTCCTAGCAGCAGAGACCAGCCTCCTGGGCACACCCGCACGGAGCCCTGCCGCCCCAAATACCCTCCGCAGAGCCAACACCTCCCAGGCCTGACTAAGGACCTTCCCAGCCCCTCCTTTCCAAACCTCCCTGTTCCCTGGGAACCTCTGCCGTCTCCCACAGTCTCCCACCCTCTCGCCCCAGCCTGGGCCCAGCTCAGGCCTCCTCCTGCCACCCAGGCTGCCCGCCCGGCCTCCTCCCAGCGCTGAGCCGCCCCTCTCCTGCACAGCCCTCCTCGCTGCACTTCCTCCGAACAGGCACCATCCGTGCCACGTCCGCCCTGGCTCAGGCACCCCAGGCACTGTCCCCGGTCCCTAGCACTACCCAAGTGGCTGCCCCAGCGCCACTGTCATAAGCTGACACAGGCAGGGCTGGGCACATGACTCCACAGTCCCCACCCACTCCATCCAGGCTGGGCTCATGCATGGGGGGGGGTCGTGCACACCCACTCCATCCAGGCTGGGCTCATGCATGGGGGGGTCGTGCAAAGAGGCCTGGGGACAGATAAGCCCCATAGGAGGCCCAGAGGGGAAGGGACGGGAGGAGGAAGGAGGGGGAAAGTGGGGCAGGGTACTCAGGACAGAGCGGCCGCCCGCCAGCCCCACTCACATATTTGGCAAAGAAGGACTTCTGCTCCTGGGGGTTCTTGGCCTTCTGCGCCTGCTCCATCTCCAGGCGCTCGATGAAAGCTGCCGTCTCAGGTCTGGGGGCGGGTGGGGCAGGGAGACAGGGTGAGGGGCCGAGACCCGGAGGTGGTCAGGAAGGGGGCAGCGGGGGGCAGGGGCGGGGCCGGACTCAGACCAGAGGCACCTAAGGAAGGTGGGGAAGGGGCTGCGTCCCGGCCTCTCCCTCACCCTGGGGCTGTGGTCGGAGGCTGCAGCTGCACTGTCGTGTTAAACAGCTCCAGGTCCACATCCTCCACCTCATGGCCACGGCAGCCCCCAGGGTGCGTCACCACCGACACGCCCACCACGTTGCCGGCCACATCCACATGCAGGGTCAGCTGGTCCGAGAGGTGTGACTCCACCAGGGAGCACTGGGGAGGAGAGGAGTGTCAGGGGAGAGGGGCACGGGCTGCTGTCCAGGCCTCACCCACCCAGGGACCCCTAAGCCTCCTGCCCCACCACGGGCTCCCTGAAGCATCTCTCAAAGCCCTTATAGACCCCTGCTCCCCTGGGGCACAAGCCCAGGTGCACCCACCACCCAGACTGTCCCCTCCAGCTCAGGAGACCCTTGAGGGCAAGGCCAGCCATGGGTCTTCCCTGTGCATAAACCCTGGGGCACAAATGGTGGAAGCCACGAAGGGTGGGTAGAAGAGAGGGAGGGGCCGGTCCTCGTCACTGACTCACCGCAGGTACAAAGGAGGAGACATAGGCCCCGGCTTCTGGGCCATCAGGGACTCCAGGCCGCTGAGGGACCCGGACACGGTACAGGCCATTCAAGGCCGCCACATCCTGCAAGGCAGACAGAAGAGGGGGATGGTGAGAGGGGGGACGCTCAGCCCCCACCAGGCCTGCATGCCCACCCAGCAGCCAGAAGGCCCTTCCCTAGTCCCGCCCAGCCAGCACTTCCCACTCTCTGGCCCAGTGAGCCAGGGTGCCCAGGACTCTCCGCACTGGCGTGGTCCTGCTGATGGATGAGGCCGGGACCCCACTAAGGGAGAAGCCACCACAAGAGAAAAGCCCAGCCCAGTGACGGAGTGAGTCCCGAGGACACTGCCCCCAAATCTGGATCCAACCACACCTGGTGCCCACCCCACACCTGGACTCCCCAGTTGCATGAGCAAAAACTTCTCCTTGGAGACAGCTAGGACAGAACTACGCGGGCACCGCACAGGAAGGCTGGTCTGGGCAGACCGTCTCCCACAGGGAGGGTGCCCGCGGGCAAGGAGCTGGCCGAGTGGAGGGGGCCCGTGGCAGCTTTTCTACGCTTCCCCTAATAGATGCTGCCCCTCGGCCGCTCCTTCCCTTGCTGTGCCTGGCTCTGGTGCCCTGCCACAGCCTCAGTGCCTCCCTGCACAACCCCCAGGGAGCACTTCCGGAGGCAGGCCGACGGGAGAGGTGACATTCTCTTAACTGTGCCTATTAACGGAGACCTCTTCCTTCACACAGGCAAATCTCATCCTAACCGACTGGGAAGCAACTTGGCTGAATCTGGAAGGGTGGGAGGAGCTGACCCCAAGAAAACTAGGGGGGGAAGAGGGTGTGCCAGGCAGAGGGAACGGCACAAAGGCCATAAGACACGTATGTCACACTCCGGGGTACATGTCCCCCACCCCACAGCCGAGCCCCAGGCCCCCTCCCTACCCGGAGCCGACCCCGCTCCTCCTCATTGAGCTGCCGCTGTGACAGGGACAAGGTGCCGTCCTGCTGGTTCCAGAGCAGCGAGCCCCGCTTCCGGAAGTGGGCGTTGTCATCTGTGGAGAACCTGGGCTCAGCAACCACTCCACTGCCACACCCTCCAACCCTCACAGGGACCAGGTCATCTCCCCATCCTGAGCCCTCAGCCTCCACCTGCAAACTGGGGACAGGGCCACCATGTCTCTCCGTCTGGCCTCACAGGGCGGCCGCCAGCCGATGCCTGAACCCCACTCCTTCGCCCTGCCTCGGCTCTGCCAAGTAACTCAGGGACAGTCACATAATCTTTGTGAGCCTTAGTTTCCTCAGCTGCAAAATATGGGGGCTACAGAGCACAGGAGTCCCCAGATGCCGGGCTGTGTGAGATTCAGCAGGACCTTCTCAAGAGGTTTGTGGAGGGTGTTTGTAAGAAGTGTTTGTAAGAAGTGCTCCAGAAGTTTGGGGCCTCACACTCGATTAAGTCCTGGGTGGCACTGACATCTGTAATCTGAGAATCTGGACACCTAAATCATGGCAGTTGAAGCTGGTCTTTTGGAGCAAGGCCCAGCTCTGCCATTCACGTACAAAAGTCCTTTGTGCAGTGACCCTCTGAACCTCGGTTTCCTCTTCTGGAAAATAAGGCCATCCCTAACACCTAGTACCTTGACTGACGGTTGTAAGGACACGTGAGTTAATATACATACAGCATCTACCCACTAGTGCAGGGCACACAGCCATGGGTCAGAAGTCTGCTCTGAGGTTATCACTGCTCTGCTGGCCTTTCTGAAAGTAGGATTTGTCTTAGAGGTACAGAGTATTCAGAGGTCAAGTTTCCATTCTCTCGCCACCCCACAGTACACAGATGGTGTGTCTTGCACTGGGTGGACCCAGGTCCGAGTTCCTGACTTCATGGGGCACCAGGTAAAGTGTCCAAGCAAGGACATTGCTGGACTCACCGATTTCAAATGAGTGTTCCAGCAGCAGCCCCACGGTGCCGCAGCCCTCGCCCTCTCGGCCTTCCACCCCCACCTGCAAGGGACAGAGAGAGGGCCCTGAGCGAGGACCATCAGGGCCCGTGGCAGGGCAGGTCCCAGGGACCCCAGGATGAGGGGAGAGCCTTATATTCCCACTCATATCCAAAACTGCCTGTTCATGAAAATTCATGATCTATATATACGGTCCCCAGAAAACCAAAGCCTGCAAACAGGCGTAACCTCCTTTCCAAGGCAACTATCTCCAGGTCACTTTCACGCTTAACATCATAAATGTTCATGACTTAAAGGACACCTTGCGCTTCCTTCCTAAGCTAATGTCCAGTGGCCTTGCTCTCACCTCAACAGCCCCAACAGCCACGATGTCACCGGAGTCCAGACCCTTACCAAGCACATACAATGTTCCACGCCATCCATTCCTACAGCTGCCCAGATTTCTCCTACCTCTGCATCCTCCACTCCACGGTCGCCCTCATACTTGCACCACCTCGGTTCCAGATTTTAATCCTCAAGCTCAAGATCCCGCCCTCCTCATGCATATTCAGGACGCAGAACTCCTCTTCAATCTCTCAAGGGCCCTTGGCTCTTTTCATTTTAGTTCCCTGACGTTTGATTCGCTAACATTCCACCCAGACCACACCTCCTCATACATATTCACGACTGCGTATTCCAACATTCGAACGTTAAGAGGACCTTGCCTCGACCTCCCTTGGCGCAGCCTCGTTTTCACCGCACCGAACGCCCGGTGCCAGATGCCGTGTGAGCCCCGTCCCCTCAATCACAGGCACAGGTAGCGCCTGCCCAACCACCCTCTCGCTTTCTCCCAGTCGTACGGCCTCGCACGTGTGCATGACTGCAGTCTCGCTTCCAACGGTGCTTTCACCTCCTCGTCCCTCAGCCCTGCGCTGCTTCATTCCCACCTAGGCCGACCTGCATGCACGAGACCCACGATTTCCCGCGGCCCAGCCCCCTGGGCAGAGCCAATGAGCACTCACCCCCCGCACAGCGGCCCCGGACCGGCAGCCGCTACCCCGCGCCCGGCTGGGGGCTGCCGCAGCCATCAGCAAGAGCAGGAGCAAGCGAGTCGCCACAGCGCCGGCCGCCGCCATCTCGGCCTAGAGGCGGCAGAGCACCCAGCGCCGCGGAGCACGCCGGGAAGCACGGGCAGCATCCCGCCACCCGTGCGCCTGCGCTGACTCCTGGCGTCGCTGCAGCAGCGCCCTCCCGCTACCTGGGCTGGACGTCCGCCGGGCGGCCTCTACGCTCGAGTCTCTGGGCACAGCTCCCTCTGATGACGTCACGACAACGGGTGTCTCCTCCGTGACGTACCAACCCGGGCCACCGCCGTGGCGTCACAGGGCCCGCGGCCCCGCCCTCGCGCTTTTTGCCCTGGCACCTCCCTCAGCTCCCCCAGAGGGGAGGGGCGCTGCGATGAAGCCGGGGCGCGAGCGTAAGCCGGCCCTCTCCGGAGCAGGAGAGGCAGCACCAGGGCTAAGGCAGGTGGGAGGCGGAGCCGGGCCTGGAGGGGCGGGACCAGGTGAGGGACGGGGCAGGCGGGGCGGAAACCGTTAGCCCCGAGTCCCCAGCCCTCAGCGCGGCACTGCCCCGGGCCCTACCGGCTGGGCAGCCCCGGCCCAGTCTTCTGGAGTAGACCCTCGGACTCTGCCCCTCTAGAACGACCCCTGGTACCAGCCTGTCCCACGGGCCGGCCCGGACGGCTCCAGTGTCACCTCCTGAGCGGCGAGTTCGACCAGCTGCGAGACTTCCCTGTCTTTCAAGTACCAAATGATTTCCCTCATCTGTGGAGTATAAGAACAAAGGAAAACTGAAGGAACAGAACAGCAGCAGAATCACAGAACCCAAGAATGGACTAATAGTTACCAAAGGGAAAGGGACTGGGCAGGAGGGGTGGGAAGGGAGGGATAAGGGCGGGGAAAAGAGAGCATTACGATTAGCATGAATAGTGTGGGGGGGCACGGGGAGGGCTGTGCAACAGAGAAGACAAGTAGTGATTCTACAGCATCTTACTGGGGTATGTGGGGGGGACTTGGTGAAGGGGGGAGCCTAGTAAACATAATGTTCTTCATGTAATTGCAGATTAATGATACCAAAATAATAAATAAATAAATAAATAAATAACAGGCTTCCCTGTCTTTGAGAGCAATTTCGTACATCCTGACTTGGGGGGCCCCAGCTCTCCTTAATTCTGCCCATTCGCCTGAACGTCCATCTCCTGGGATTCCTAATCGACACCTTCCCTATACCTCCAGACCTTCAGCTTCTCCATGAACCCTGGTCTCTGACCTCAGTTTCCCTGACTTCACACCCATATGACCCTTGACCTTTGACCTCCGGGCATCTGACCCCCAACTTACTCTTTAACTCGCTTGGTTTATGACCCTTAATCCTACCAAGATTCCTCAGGTCTGATTCCTCCCCAGTCCTGCCCCCCATCTATCCGGATTCTAACCTCTGACCCCTGGCCCCAGGTGACCCGGTTAGGAGAAGTCACCAAGAAGGTCACTATGGGGATGGCAGCCTCCAGTCCAGCGCTGGAACTCCCAGACCTGCTGCTGCTGGTGGGCCCTGCAAAGGAGAGTGGACTCCTGCAGCTGTTCGGGTGACTGCCCCCACCCCGCCTAGGCCTCCTTCTCCAGCTCTGGGTATCATAGGCCCCCTGCAGCACCTCCTCTCACCCAGATGACCCCCAGGGCCAGGAGCCTTGGATGGCTGCCAAACATCCAGAAGAACAAGGAGAGGGCAACCCACAGGGGCCAGAAATCAGAGACATAAACATGAGAGGCAGGGATAGAAGAATGACCATTTATGGGGCCTACTGCATGCCAGGCACCACCTGGGCCATGCACATAATCTCATCTCTGACCTCATACTCTCATATGGTGGGGCCCCTTAGCCCCATTCTCCAGAGATAAACTGAGGCCTGGCGAGGGGGGCCACTTGTCTAAGGTCCCACAGTGGCTCGGGCTGGGCTGGTAACAGAACCTCAGGCTCCTCCCAGTTGCTGACATCACGATCCTTGGAGCTCCTGTGCTGCACTACACAGCCCTCTTGAGACTTCGTTCCTTCACTGTAAAGGAATATAAATACACTCCAAGGTACAAAACACACAGCACAAAATTTGCCTCTCTCCCATCCCAGGCACCTGCCTCCAACTCCATCTGTAAGTACCAGAACATTTACATGGTGTGGTTTATTCACAGAAACATTCTGCCAGTCGTTTTCATTTTTTTGACTGCATCTTGCAGTTAAAGAAAAAGAGAGGGAGTTTGAGGGAGGCAGAGAGGGAGGAAGGAAAGAGAAGGGAGGGAAGGAGGGAAGGAAAAAAGGAAGTCACATTGGCACATGCACACACACACGCACACACACACACACACACACACACACACATACACACACACACAGGCCCATGACCTTTTGTGTGCAATTCTAAAGTTCAAAAAGTTTTTTTGTAACTCAGGGGCAGAATCTGATTCTGACCTGAACTAACTGAAGGCCACTTACAGCCTTTATTTATCACCCATGTAAGTTCAAAACATTTCATGATGCAGAATTCTGATGCAGTGTGGTACACTGGGACAGTTTCTCTTCTACATATTATTTTTCATTTCAGTGCTAATTGTATCCCACCAATCTCACCACTCACTGAGTCATAACTTACAGTTTGGAAGGACACTAAGGATGGTGCTGGGGTGGGGGTGGGGAGCTTTGACCCTCAAAAGCTCCTTCATCCTCCCCTCCCCCCAAATAAACATATTATCGAAGTGTATGCATTGAACTTGCTCTGCAAACTCAGCCTGAAGACTCATCCCCCACCCCTCACTTCTAACAAGCTTGCAGCCCTGAGCCATTCCGAGCCAGTTCTGACAGGCATATGGTGTGTGTTCGCCCTTTCTTTAAAAACCCGACAAGCGCTACTCTGCTACTTTCCCCCTCTGCCCACTCCCTCTTCAGCACTACAGCAATATTCATTTCATATCAACGTTAGTACAGCCACCAGATCCTCTGGGGGACACACACAACTGAACAAATTCTGCCCCCTTGAATACTAAGCTGGCATTGGACCTCTTGCTGTTACAATGTAGGCAACACCCTTGAATGGATGTCTGCCTTCAGATGGCTTGGATTCAAATTCTGCCTTCATTTGCTTTGGCCAAGTTCCTTACCTGTCTATGCCTCGGTTTCCTCATCTGAAACATGGGGATAAGAGGAGAGCCCACCTTCAAGGGCTGTCCAGCATAAACTGAATCAATGTTTGCATAGCATTTGGACAGGATCAGTACCCTGGAACATCAGCTGTTAAGCTTCCATTTGGGGAACATAATAGTGGATGGGGTTGTCCACTGAGACACTGAACTTTTGTCTGGTATCTTGGGGTTACAGCCGGTGTGCCAGGCAGGGGTCATACATGTGCACAGGCATGAGGGTGTAAGGTCAATTCCAAGGGATAGTATACTCGGTCAGAGGGAGGTACGTGGCTACCCAGTGCTGCGGTTAAGAATGTGGGTAAGATTTGGGTTCAAATCCCTGCTGTGTGACCTGGGCCAATTTACCCACCCTCTCTGGATTATTTTTTCCTCTGTCCTTGTTGGACCTTGAATCAGGCTCTGGGCTTGAACAGCTCATTTATTCAAATATTCAACAAGCATCTGTTGAGCACCTACTATGTATCAGCTCTGAACAAAATTAGACCAAAATCCCTCCCTCAAGCCGACAGAGTAAATGACAATTTGTCCAATGGGGTAAGATCTGGTGGACATGGTGACAAAGAGGCCAAGGATTGTAAACAGACCTTCTGGGAAGGGGCCTCTTAAGACATGAGAGAGATGAAGAGGTCAAGCCATGAGGAGGGCTGGAATAAAATTTTTTCAGGCAGAGGGAACAGTCTGTGCAAAAGTCCTGAGATAAAAGGAAGGAGGATTTATGGGACAGCGAGTGTGGCTGGGGCCAAGTGAGCAAGGGTAGGGCAGAGAGCGAACAAAGCAGGCCGATCGTACAGGGCCTCTGGTCTCCGTGAGGACTCAGCTCTTACTCTGAGCCGCGGGAGGGACGCGGGTGTTGGCCAGCGTCCTCTGGGGGCCGCGTGGGAGCCGACGCGGTGAACGCAGAGGCAGCGAGCCCGGGCGGGCGACTGCGCGGGGTGGCGTGGAGGGAGTCAGCAGTGGTCGCATTATGGTTACATCTTAACGGAGCCCTCAAGATTTGGTGGCAGGACTGGATGGTTTGAGATGGGGTTAAGATGAGGAATTTGGTGGCTGGACATTTTGTGTCCGATGTCGATCCAACATACGGATGTTAATTTCAAGTAGGCAGCCATTCGAGTCTCGCGTTTAGGACAGAGGACCAGCGAGAGGCACGCACGCTTGTGGATGAAGGGAAGTTGGGGATGGGTAAAATTGAATGGGCAGGGAAAGTGAAGGAGGCCTCCTCCTGAGCGGAGGGAGAGGCGTCGAGGTGGGCGACCCCTCCCCCGACCGGAGCGAGCCCGGGGCGGCTGTGAAGCTGGGGAGGGTCGGAATCGGAGGCCGCCCCTTCCCTCCGCCCAGGCTGTTCCCCTTGCAATTCGTCCAGCTCTTCGTCCAAGAAGAAAGCCGCTGGCAGCTCACAGTCAGGTTCCGTACCCGCCGCTCCTTCTACCTGCAGCTGCGCGCCCCGCCCGAGACCCGCGACGGCGAGTTCGGCCAGTGGGTGCGGCTGCTCTACCGCCCGCGCCTCCCCTCGGCCCGGGGAGCCGGGCGCTTCCCGCAGGAGCACTCCGCGCTGGGCGGAGGAGGGAAGGCAGAGCTGGGAGGGCCTGGCTCCGAGGAGGGGGCCCGGGAGCGCCCCCGGGGCGGATACCTGTGATGGAGAACGCGGGCGACCAGGGGCCGGGACTCCCGCGTCCTGAAAGGGTATGAAGTCTGCGTGCCGAGGAGGAGGATCTCAAAGCAGGGAAAGGCCTGCAAGGCTTTGGTGAGCTGTTAGGCACGTGGTTTCCTCACTGGGCGTTCCCTCTCCCGAGGCCCCGCCCCCGCCGCTGCCCCCAGTGCGGTCTGGGCGGGGGATGCCCAGGCCAGATGTCCAGTTCCTCCAGTGTCTGCGGGAGGGGAGGGGCGCCAGTCCTGGAAGGTGGGGGACTCTTCCTCTGGAGACACCCCGCTCCCACTGTCTTCCCCGTAAGTCCCCACCCACCCCAAGAGGGCAGATACAGGGGCAGATAAGGCCTCTGAGACACTCTCCCACCCAGCTTCAAGGCACGGAAGCCAGACTTATGCTCAGACCTCTGAACCCGGGACTCTGAACCCTCCAACATCCTGTGAGGTCACCAATAGATCAGAAGTCACAGTACCCTACCTCAGGACCAGACAGATAGATGAGTTGGTACAGTTAATAAAGATCGGCCACTCCAGACCCCACAACCAGGGCATGTGCAGTTCAGCGGCGTGGCCACCTCACAGAAGTAGCTTTTCCGTGACAACTGCCTCAGCGTGGTCTTCGGTTCGTCGTGCCTGGTGGGGCCAGCACTAGTGCCCACATCCCCCCTCAGTTAGTCCTCCCAGCCTGCCCCTTGGCTCCTCTTTGGCCCATTTTAGCTGCCACTGCAGCTGGCCTGTCTCCCCCCCACTAGTGGAAGCTTGTCTAAGAGGACTGCCTACACAGGGCCTTGAGGTGCAGCTCAGAGTAGCCGTGGCAACGTGGTAGCCTCGCTGGAGGGGTACCTACTGCAAGATGGCAGCCTCGACGTGGCCTCTTGCATCTGGGCAGCCTTATCGTGGTTGCCATCCCAACCTGCTGTCCCCCCTGCCCACCTTGTTGACTAACCCCTACAGCTACAGATTCAAGAAGGACAGACACGTGCGTGCGGTTGGAGACAAGACTATTATGTTCTCAGCGATAACAGTGTCCGGGACGGTCCAGGTTAGGACCCAGCAGCCACTTTCCTTGGCAGGTGAAGAGGCAGTCTCACTGTGGCACTGTGGGGAAATGAGGAAAGCCAGGTAAGGCGGGCGGAGCTTCCCAAAGGCATGTGCCCCACCATAGGTCCCTTTGCCTGCTGGACTCAATGACCAGCAGGGGGAGCAAGTTCACCCTTAACCACCCAGTTCCCCCACCCACAGAGGGCACGGTCAGCCCAACATGACTTGTAGTGTTGAACCCCAAACCTGGGACGTTCTGATCAGGGATTTCTAAGCAGCTGCTAGTGACAAGCTGTCACTAGAATCCTGAAGTAGGGGTATTTCTGAGGTGATTCAAGATGATAAAGGAGAGAGCAGGACATTAGAAAATGGGTCTGCCTGGAAGAGCAGTGCTTTAGAATGACAGCCGCCTCTCTGAGCCCTTCCTCACAGTCTGCAGACACTTCTGTCCGCGGGGCTGTTGTCATGGCTGCGCAGAGTCACAGTCCAGGAGGGAGGGACTCTGGAAGCCGGTATTAACATCAGCTGCTTCTGAGGGAACTCATTAGCAGCCTCCCTAGTGAGCCTTGAATGGTGGACATTTGACAGGCTGAAGCCCAAGGCAGAGGAGGGAAGGAACAGTGTTCTGGGAAGAGGGAACAGCATGTGCAAAGTGCCAGGACTAGAAGAAAGCATGGGCAGTTTGTCTAACTGCTGACAGCTTGGTGTGGCTGGAACAGCATGGGGGAAAATGGGGATACCTGAGACCAGAGAGGAGCAGGAGGCAGAAGCAAAAACATATACTGCAGGCTGAGGGGCTCCAGGGCTGCTGGGACCCCAAGGTGGGCCATGAGCAGGGGAGGGGCAGGTCAGCTCTGGACAGAGAACCCTCTCTGTGGCCCTGGGTGGGGTGGACTAGAGGGAGAGTCAGGAGGCAGAGAGGCCAGGGAGGTTGCCAGGCAAGAACTCAGGAGGAAGAGGACAAACAGGACAGAGAGAGGCAGGGACAGGAAGGACAGAGCTTGGGGACAAGCTCTGGAGGGGAAGGGGAATTCTCCGGGCTCCCCAGCCCTGGTCCTTTGCCTCTGTCGGTGCTGTGCTCACACATCTCCCCACGCAGGCCCAGGCATGCTGGTGGCCTTGGTGATCATCTGCCAGGTCTCACCCACACTTACCTCTTTCTCGTCCCTCCACTCCTCCTGAGAACATTCTCAGCGTACTGCCCAGGCTGGGTCAGGTGCCCCCAGCCCCACCCCGGCAATGCCCTGCATTCCAGCACATGGCACCCCCACCGTTCCTGCTGGGGCCTGCATCCGTTTTCCCAGTCACCCCCGCGGAGGGCCTGCATCACACTCAGCTCTAGTCTCTGCACTGCTTGGCCCAGGCCCCCAGCTAGCTTTGCAAAGGGTGTGAACGAGGGTCAGCCAGGGGGAGTCCTTGGGCCACCACATCCTCACCTCGGACGTCCAGCTTGCACTCAGCCAGTGCCTCCCCCAGCTCATTGACGGCCCGACAAGAGTAAGTCCCCGAGTCAAAGGGCGACGGGCGGCGGATGTTTAGTGTCAGGACCCCCTGGTGGTTGGTCATCAGGAACTTGGGATCCTCACGGATTTCCATCTTGTTCTTCATCCAAACCACCTTTGGCTGTTGAAGGGAGCAGGAGAGGAGGCCAGCTTAGGTAAGACTCCCTGGGTGACGGCAGAATGGGCTTTAAGAGGCAGATACAGATTTTAATCTTGGCTGTGCCACCTCCTAATTTTGACTGGATGACCTTGGACTAGTCACTTCTCTCTGACCCTCAGTCTCTTCTTCTGTAAGAGGAAGAGCTCACTCCTTGTTGCAGCCCACGGGCCCCTACCTGATCTGACCCTATTACTCCTCTGGCCTCCTCTCCTTTCTCCTTCCCTCCCTCCCTCGGCTCCAACCACCGCGGCCTCCCCACTGGCTCTCAAATTGACCAGACAGTTTTCCACCTCAGGACCTTGGCAAAGGCGATTCCCTCTTCCAGCACTGCTCTTCCCTCCTCTTGCCACCTAATCAGCACCTGCTTGTCTTTCAGGTCTCAGCTCACATGACACAAGCCCCTGCCTATGTTACACTCCCACACCTGCCTGTGCTTCTCTAGCACACCTGCCACCCTTTATAATTTATAGTCACTCGTGTGACTTTGGATTGATGTTGGTCCCCCTCAACATCCAGGAACTCATCCAGTTCACCAGCACATGGAGATCCTCTGAAAATGTATGTTGAAAGAATAAATGGAGTGAATGAATGAATGAATGAAGTAAATAAGCAAATGGAGTGAATGAACGCACTGAGTAAATGAAGGGGTTGGCAGGGGAATAAATGAGTGGGATGAATGAATGAGTGGGGTTAGAATAAAGCGGGTAGATGGGGCGGATGGGGTGAACTACTGAACCGACATACAGCCTGTGGGGCTGGAGCTAAAACTTGAGTTAGGCCAAAAGTCGGAAAACTTTGTAAAGGGCCAGACAGTCAACATTTTAGGCTTTGCAGTCCCTAAACACACGGTGGCTGTGGACAACACACAGTGTGCCCAGTTATGTTCCGAAATAAGTTTTAGAGAAACCAGTGGCAAGCGGATTTGGTCCGCTGAGCTATCATTTCCCGACCCCTGGTCTAGCTGAGTTGTTGGAGCTCAAGGTGGCAAGTGTCCATTCCCCAAGGAGCAGGCTGGAAACCAGATGGGGCAGGAAGACGCAGGGGAGCCCAGAAGTTTAGACACCCCCAAAGGTTTCTGTTTCCGAGGGAAGTCATAATGTAATGATCTGAGACTCAAGCTCTGGCCAGAGGAGGAGAAAGACAGGAAATGGGTTAAACGTGAGTAAATCCCATAAACTCAGGAATTCAGGAAGGAAGAGCTGGTGTGGCTACGTTTCTCTTGGTGAAGACAGTCCTGCAGGGTCACACATGCATGCGCGCACGCACACACGCCCGAGCATGCACGCGCAGCACCTTTGGGTGGCCTCTGACGGCACAGTTGAGAGCTGCAGAGTAGCCAGCCACAACCACACGGTCTGGTAGAGGCGTCAGGAACTTGGGAGGCGTTCGGAAGTCGTGCTCCTTGTACAGAAACGGTTTGAAGGTGAGACCTGGGGGAGGGAAGATGCACCTGTAAGGTGACCCATCTAGATGGGCCCCAGACCGCCCCGCCTCCATCCCAGGGCCACCAGCTTAGGGCCCAGGAAGGGGGAGGAGTCAAGGCCGAGCCCCAGCCAGAGGGGAGAGCGGACCCCACAGAAGGGGGCCGTGACACCTGTCTTGAGGATCTGGGCCGTGTTCTTGGAGACACCAGGTGAGTCACTGAGCCCACAGAAGTTCTTGCTGAAAACGCGGAAATAATACTCATTGCCCACGATGAGGTCAGACACGGTGCAGCAGGAGTGCCGGCTGTGTTCGCAGACGGTGAACCACTCCTGGAGCGGGGACGGGGAGGGGACACAGACAAGAAGACCACGCGCCGCTCACAGCAGCCCCGTTCGCCCTGGCCAGAGGGTGGCAACAGCCCAAGCGTCCGTCAGCTGATGAACAAATCCGTACAACGGACTGCCCTTCAGCCTTGAAAGGGAATGGGCACCGACATGCAGCACGCGTGGGCCTGGACAACTGCGGAGTGGAAGGGGTCAGACACCAGAGGCCCCCTGTACGATTCCATTTATGTGAAATGCTCTCAAGAGGCAAAGCCACAGACCCTGGAAGCAGATTGGTGGCTGCCAGCTGGTGGGGGGGCAGTGCAGTGACCGCTCGTGGGCAGGGGGTTCCGTTAGGGGGATGAAAATGCCTTGGAACTAAGCAAAGGTGGTGGTCACACAACACTGAAGATGTACTCAATACCACACCACTAAATGCCACCTTTAAATAGCTAGTGTTTAATTTTATTATGTGAATTTTACATCAAAAGCGAAAAATCACGTACCAAATCTCAGCTAAGAGGCTTTCCCCCCAGCCCATTCACCCCATCACCCCAACTCTCGGAGCCTCGGCTTCCCCAGCTGCTGTGGGAACGATGGCACCTGCTCCATCTCGCCGCCCCCCCAACCCGGGGCTCCCAGGGCCCCTCACCATGGTTTTCTTGTCAGCTTTCTGGATGAGATAGCCCGTGACCTCGCTGTTCCCATCATCCCGGGGGGGCTGCCACTCCACCAGCGCGTTAGTGCCCCACACCTCCTTCACCATCACGTTCTCGGGGGGCCCCGCCTTTTCTGGAAGGGGGGGCGTGGTTGTCCTATGCCAGCCCACGCGGGCCCGCAGGACCTGGCCTCACCCCTTCTCCCACCCCCACCCCCGCTCCTCTCCCTCTTTGGATGCCTCCTGGGCCTTCCTCCCTCCCATCTCCTCCCCTTTCTGCCCCGTCCCCACCTCCCCCCATTCCAGGCTCGCCACTTCTCCGTCCTTCGCCCAGCTGGCCGCGCACCCACAACCCGGATGCGGATGGCGGCCGTGTCCTTCATGTTCTCGATCTGCACGCTCAGCTCGTACTCCCCCGAGTCGGAGCGGGCTGCCTGGCGCACGAAGAACACAGTGTCCATGTCGCTGGTGCGCACGTGCACGCGGGAGGTGTCCACAGGCGCACCGCCCTTCGTCCACACCGCCTGCGGCCGGGGCTTCCCCTGGGAAGGGTCAGGGTGAGGAGAGGTCGGCCAGGGTCCTGCTACAGGCACTGACCCCTAACCTGTGACCCCAGCCCCGTCACGGCGCACCTGGAAGGGGATGACGAGGTTGAGGTGTTCCCCCACTTTGCGGATGTAAGTCTGGCGGAGATGGCGGGGGAGCCGGATCTTGGGTTGCTCTGGGGGCACAAACACAGAAAGGGGGCTCGGTGCTGGGCTGGGGGACACTGGAGGGAGGGACGGACAGACCAGCGGCCACGTGGCCGTGGCGGGGAGGCTCTGATGATGACTCGGGACGGGCTGGCCGGGTGACCCCCACCGGCCCCTAGGAGAGCAGGGCCGGGGCCACGCACCACTCACCGACGATCTCCCGGATGGTGACCGGCTGCACCAGGGTGGCCGGCTCGCTGCGCCCCGCAATGTTGACCCCAACAACCCGGAATAAGATTTTCGCTCCTGTGGGAAGATTCTTGACGGTGAAGCCACAGCGCTCCACAGGCTCCGTGTTGGCAGGGCTCCAGTCCTCAGCTAGGGGAGAGGGGCGAGTCTGGGGCACCCTCCAGGCCCTCCAAGGCCCCCCGCGGCTCGCCCCTTCTGGCGCCTGGAGCTGCTGCCGCAAAGGGCAGCGGCTGACATCTCTCAAGTGTGTGTGTATGACCAGGGCCAGAGAGCAGCTCCCATCAGCTCACTAGTTCCCACCTCCGCCCTCTGTTATCCCTGAGGCTCAAAAGGTAAGGAACTGGGGGGAGAGGCGGCGGCACCCCCTCTTGGAAGTGCCTTACCATTCGGTTTCATTTCTGTGGGTCGGTGAACCGATGTGGGCCAGACCGACAACCCACAGGGCTGGTTCTGAAACATGATGGTGGCGCTGACACAGACTGGGGAGGGGCCGCAGGAGCGCGGGGAAGAGCCCGGGAGAGAAAGGGGGAGGCCGGCAGGGGCCAGCCATCATTTACATGCGTTGCCAAAGGCAGTCATCGCTGGACTCTGTCAAGATGGGCACTGTCTTTACCATTTTCAGATGAAGAAACAGGCTCAGAGACTTGCCCAGAGTCACACACACACACGCGCACGCGCACGCACACACACACACGCGCACGCGCACACACACACACACACACACACACACACACACACACACACAAGTGTAGGGCAGAACTGGAATCTACATGTGTCTGTCTGCCCATGAGATGACCAGGTCAGAGACATCCCCACACTTGTGGCTCTGGGTCTGGCACACGGTCAGTGCCAAACGCATGTTTGTTCAGTGGAGGATGGAGAGTTGGATGTGTAACAATATGGATGGATGGACAGACGGACAGATGGATGAATGGGTGGATGGACAGAGGGGCAGACAGATGGAGAATCAGTAGACAGATGGAGGGTCATGCAGGGAGATGGTTGGATGGAAATAAGGATAGAGGGAGGGCCAGGGAGGGAAGATGGGAATGAAGGGATAAGTATGTGGATGAAAAAAATGTCACTGGATAGATTATCCAAAAGATTTTCAGATGGGTAAGGAGAGAGCTGGGTGGGCAAGTGGATGGGAGGAAGGAAACATGGATGAAGCGAGGGAGAAGGAATATAGGTAGTAGATAAATCCAGGATGGCAGGATGGATGGATGGGTGAAAAGGCATCGCTGAATGGAGGATGGATATCAGGGAAGGAGGGAGGGAGGCGGGCAGAGGAAGAGAGAGAGACAGGCTGGTCACAGGGAGCCTGGCTTGACCCATCCCATCTCAGGGACACATGCAGACACACAGAAGAGGACAGCCCGCTGCACCAGAGACCTCGCCCTACACTGCTCTGCTTGCGGTTCCCTGGACTGGGTACCATGGGGGCTCCATGAGCCCCAGCTCCCGCCAGGCCTGACAGGGTCACTCACAGCCCTCCACGCAGTACTCCACCAGGTACCCGTCGATGCCACCTGCCCCGATCCTGTCTGGGGGCCTCCACTTAAGGGTGGTGGTGGTGTCTGTCACGTCCTCCACCATCAGGTGCTGGGGTTCACTTGTGGGTGCTGTAAAGATCCAGGGAAAAAGGAGGTGGGGAATCAATAAGGGATGAGTGGTCACAGTGGGAGGCAGGGATCAGGGCTAGAGACACTGGCCAGGAAAGGGATCAGTATGGGGGGCTGGACGTCAATGAGCAAAGACGTGTCATCACAAATCGTTAAAAGCAAGACATCAATAGACAGTGAGTGCCCAAGGTCAGGGATAGGTGTCAGTCTGGTAGGCCAGAGCTCAGTGAGGTATCTGGGCAATAGCATGGAGTCTAGGACCACAGAGATTAGCAGCTGAGGTACGGAGTCAGGAAGAGGTCAGGAAGGTGGACAGGGCTGGGAGGTCAAAGGCAAGGTGGAGGGTCAGAGATCAATGCTGGACAGGGCATGGGCTGGAGGCATGCAGGGGCTCAGTGAGGGTGCAGAGAAACATCACCAATAGGCATGAAGGGCTTGCTGTTGACACTGGGCTGGGAAATCCCAATGGCATTGACAGCAAAGACCCGCATCTCGTAGAGAACGCCCTCAATCATCTTGGTGGACTCATATGTCGTCTCTGTAAAGACCTCAAAATTCACCTTCATCCAGCGCTGGGAGCCCTTCTTCTTCCGCTCCAGGAGGTACCCTGGGACACCCCCCAAAGAAAAGTGGGCGGTCAAGGGTAGGCTGTGGGTCACAGGTCAGTTGGAGCAGTGAGGGTCACATTGAAAGGTCACATGTCCCAGAGAGGCCTGGGTCCATGAATCCTGAGTTGATCTCAGGGCCACAGAGCAGTCAGGCCACCCATCACAGGGCCAGGGATCAAGAAGGGTCACAGGTCATGAATTAGGGGTCAGGGTCACAGAAAACTGCAGGCTGTCGGCCACAGTGAGAATTCCCAGATTACTGGGGAGTAAAGAATGGTGGGGAAGACCAAAAGGACTGAGGGATACTGGAGACGGAAAACAGGTCTCAGAGGGAGGTCACTGAGGAGACAGAGAACTCGCAGAGGTCACGGGAAATCAAGGGGTAGAGCGGTCAGAGGTCATGAGGACTCACACATAGGCACTCACCAGTGACTGGCTGCCCCCCATCATATTTGGGTGGCTCCCAGACAAGGACAGCCCAGTCCTCTCCGACTGAGGTGACACGTACAGCCTCTGGGGGGTCTGGGACGTCTGGAGGGAGGCAGGATGGTCAGGGAGCTTCAGAGAACCACCCCCTGGCTCAGCCCCCTAGGTGCCCTCTGCTCACCCACAACCCGCAAGAAGATGGAGGTTACATCCTCCCCAACGGGGTTGGTGACCTTGATCGTATAGCGGCCCTCATCTGATCGATCGGCACTCTCGATCACGAAACTGCTGGTATCTGCCTGCTGCTCGATGTGGACCCTGCCGTCGGTGGCCGAGAACACCTGGGCACAACCACAGTGTGGCCTGGCTCTACCGCTCCCCAGACCCAGACCTGGCCCCTTCCCTGCTCAAAATTCAAGGTGCAAGGTGCTGCACCCAGCACGAGAGGCCCTGTTGGGTCTGCACAACTCTCCCATACGCACTCCTCGCCGTCCAAACACCCCCCTTAATTAAAAGCACCAGATTGTCTCATCCCCGACATGTTGCCTGCAACACCCTGTGCCACTGGTCTATCTGCTCTCCTCTTACTCATCCTTTAGGACCTGCCCCAAAGTTGCCTCTTCCCAGAAGCACTCTTGGATGCCCCCAGCTGAAAGTGATGGCCCCATCCCAGAACATACAAGATGAAAATATCTGTCGGATGGAAGGATGGATGGATAACTGGACTGACTGGCGGATAGATGGACAAATGGATTAACTACTGGATGAGTGGTTATCAATTACAGGATAATTATTTAATTAATTGATGACTAGAAAGATGGTTTGACAGATGAGTTGATGGAGGACCAGACTGGCTGACTGGTTGGTTGACTGACTAATAGATTAATGGACAGACAGATGGACGGACGGATGGATGGATGGATGGAGCACCCACCATGTGTTAGGCCATTACCAGGTAATGGACAAATATAGTCTCCCATCTTCAAAACATTCCTCTGAAGAAGGAATCATCATCCTCATTTTAGACAATGAAACTGAAGCTCAGAGAGGGAAAGCTACTTGCCTAAAACCACCCAGCAGAATTGAGAGAAAGTAGTCACGGTTTGGGGAAGCCCCATTGTACCTCATCTCCCTTCAGCCAGGTGGCGACAGGAGGGGGCTCCCCCGTGATGGACACATCTAGCCTCAGCTTGTTTCCAGCCACAACCACAATCGAATTCTCTGAGGTCTTCCCCGAGCAGTCCAGGTGAATCTTTGGTGGCTCTGGTGGCAGAGAAGGGACGCTGGGGGGACTTGGGAGTGGAGAGCCAGACCCACTCCCCACCAGACTTCCCGTGACCTCTGAGAGTTCTGGGCCTCCTCAAGGAGAGGGTTCCAGCAGCCATAGAGACCCAGGAGTCCAGGCCCCCAGCCCTCCTCCCTCGGACCCCGGAGTCCAGGCCCCCAGCCCTCCTCCCTCGGACCCCGGAGTCCAGGCCCCCAGCTTACCAGAGTAGCCCCTCATCCTTACCTTGCTTGGGTACATACTCCACCTTGATTTCTGGAGGACAAAGAAGACGGCACAGTTAGGTCTAAATCCAGCAGGCCCCTTACCCTGCCCTGATACCAAGAGGCAGAGGGGGGTTCAGATACCACCTGGGGACCGGGGTGCTGGGGGTGGACGCTATGGCCTCCAGGGGGAAATGAAAGAGCATTCTCACCCAGGAAGTTGAGCTTGGCCGAGAGGGACAGGGCATAGCCATCGGGCACAAATGTGTAGTCTCCCTCGTCCTCAGGGCGGACATCATCAATCACCAGTTTGTGGACCCTAAGCAGTTAGAAGGACAAGGAAGGGGTCAGCCTAGGTCACCTGAGGACCACCACAGAGAAAAGCCCTCCTCAATGCAATCTACATGCCATGCCTACCATTTTTATTCTGGGCTTTGGAATGCTATCATATGGGTTCAGATCTCAGCTTTGCCACTTACTAGCTGTGTGATCTTGGGCAAGTTACTTAACCTCTCTGTGCCTCAGTTTCTTCACCTACAAAATAGAGGTACTGATAATGATCCACACCAGCATTGTTGTAAAGCATTTAGAAAACTCCCTGGCACATAGTAAGTGCCCTATAAGCACTGGGATTTGTTACCATTACTGACACCACCAGCAGGCAGAGTTCCTAACACAGAACCCAGAGAAAGCCTACATTCTGCCGGAAGTTACTGTCAGGAAACCCTCAGGGGCACAATGTCCTATGGGCGCTGTGGCGGTGCTCTGCATCCCACAGATTACCAGGTGTTCATTGCAGATGTCCATGTTCTACCCACTGAATTC